CTGGCGGTTCAAAACCACCAGCCACTCCTCGGAAGAAAGGTGGGACAATCTACTTCTGTAGTGAAACCACCTCAGAATCCCAAGGGGAGGGGTCACTATGAGTGGAATAAACTCGATGGCAGTGAATTTGGTTTTTGTTTGGTATTATGGGATGTGATTAATGTAAAATTTATTAAAGTGTGAAAATGTTATAATGGGTGGTTTCTGTTTTGTTCTGTTTTTTTAAACTATTCTACCACTGGATAAAATACATACCTTTGAAGTAGGGTAAGACACCCATAGCCTTGTTCTTTATGCCAGTGGAATTACGAAGTGAATATAATACTCTAAATTCTGAAATTCAGGACAAGAAGAGGTTTTCCCATTAATTTTCATTTCTGTGAGTATGTATAGGAAGAATAGAGTTTTGTTTTTGTTTTTACTTTTAGTTGATTTGTTAAAATGTACATGAAAGCCACCTGGTATTGGGTGATTTTTAATATTTACAATCTTAGGCAGATGAGTAGTTAATTTGGTTTTATTGTACCCCAAGTTGCTAGTGATCTTTGAGGATAATTCTTTGGCTTCTAACCCATACTTCAGAGAGTCCAGGAGTACATTTAGATTTTTTATTTTGAAGGATTAAGCCATGCAGTAGCAATGGGTTACAATGACCAACCATACATTTGGATATATATATTCAGTGAGTTTTTCAAGCTTTCTAACCTTACTCATCTCATTAGTCTTTTTATTTTTTAATCTTTTATCAGAAATTAAATTTAAAAGAGTGAGATGTAGTTTAATCATGGAAAAGATGAATTCACCATCTGCAATATTAAATTTCTTTCGACTGTTGAGTCTCCAGCATCCTGATGCTTTATTTAGATAATATCTCCTAATTAATACTCTACAATGGGAAGTCTTAGTAGAAAACACTGGGCACTTTGGTCTGTGATGTTTGAAGGTATTTAGCCTATATTTAAAGAAGCATTTCTACTGTTTGTTTCTTAGCTATGACATATATGTCATGTGATAACAATATGTCTATGACATATTAAGTATGGTGAGACTGTGTCATCCAAACTTTATCATGCTTCTTAACCGCTTTCTTCATCAGCATGAGAATATTTCCCTAAAGGAGACTGGGAACATCATCATGAGGCCTCAAACTACTAGCCCGTTTATAGAGGATGACAAGCTTATTGCCTCCTCCATGCCCTGGAAAACTGAAGTATGGTTACTTTGTGGTCTTTGGAATGAAAGAAATCATTTAATAAGGATTGATTTATATGATTCATGATTTACCTTGTTGCTCTAAATTGTGATGACAACCCCCACTCATTTGTCATTGTCTTAAGATAAATATGCAAAGCTGTAAGTAACATGTTGTTGTTAGGTGCTGTTGAGTCATCTCCAACTCATAGTGACCATATATACAACAGAACAAAACACAGCCTGGTCCTGTGCCATCTTCATGATCCTTGCTATACCTGAGCCCATCATTGCAGCCACTGTATCATTCCATCTCATGAAGGGCCTTCCCCTTTTTCATTTACCAAGCATGATATCCTTCTCCATGGCATGGTCCCTTCTGACTACATGACCATAGTAGGTGAGACAAAGTCTGGCCATTCTTGCTTCCAAGGAGCGTTCCAGCTGCACTTCTTCCAGAATCGATTTGTTAGCTCTTTTAACAGTCCATGGTAAATACCATGGCTTGTGTCAGGCACACCTTAGTCTTCAAAGAGACATCTTTGCTCTTCAGCACTATAAAGAGATCTTTTGCAGAAGATTTGCCCAGTGCAATACATCAGCTGATGTCTTGACTACTGCTTCCATTGGTGTTGATTGTGAAACCAAGTAATATGAAGTCCTTGATAACTTAAGTCTTTTCTCCATTTGTTGTGATGCTGCTTATTGGTCCAGGTGTGAGGATTTTTGTTTTCTTTATAATGAGGTGTAATCCATACAGCAGACTATAGTCTTCCATCTTCATCAGTAAGTGCTTCAAGTCATCTTCACTTTCAGGTAGCAAAGTTATGTCATCTGCATATCACAGGTTGTTAATGAGTCTTTCTCCAATCCTGATGCCATGTTTTTCTTCATATAATCCAGCATCTTAGATTAGTTGCTCAGCAGACAAATTGAATAAGTATGGTGAAAGGATACAACCATGACAAACTCCCTTCTTGATTTTAAACCATGCAGTATTCGCTTGTTCTGTTCAAACAACAACCTCCTGGTCTATGTGCAGGTTCCTCATGAGTACAATTAAGTGTTCTGGAATTTCCAATCTTCTTAATGTTATCCATAATTTGCTATGATCCACACAATCGAATGCTTTTGCATAGTCAATAAAACACAAGTAACCAAACATCTTTCTGGTATTCTTTGTTTTCAGCCAAGATCCATGTGACATCAGCAATGATATCCTTTGTTCCACATTCTCTTCTGAATCCAGTTGGCACTTCTGGAAGTTCTCTGTCAATATAATGCTGTAACCATTTTTTAATTATCTTCAGTAAGATTTTACTTGCACATGATATTGTTTAATAATTTCCACATTCTATAGCATCACCTTTCTGTGGAAAGAGTACAAATACAGATCTCTTCTAGTCAGTTGGCCAGGTAGCTGTCTTCCAAATCTCTTGGCATAGCCAATTGAGTGTGTCCAGTGTGGCCTCCATTTGTTGAAACATTTCAATGAGTATTCCATCAATTCCTGTAGCCTTGTTTTTTGCCAATTCCTTCAGTTCAGCCTCGGCTTCTTCCTTCAGTACAATTGGTTCTTGATCATATGCCACCCCCTGAAATATATGAACATTGACCAATTCTTTTTGGTACAATGACTCTGTATATTCATTCCATCTTCTTTTGATGTTTCCTTCATCATTCAATATTTTGCTCATAGAATCTTTCAGTATTGCAACTCAAGGCTTAAATTTTTTCTTCAAATGCCAAGTGTATTCTTCTCTTTTGGTTTTCTAACTCCAGGTCTTTGCACATTCATTATGATAACTGACTTTGTCTTCATGAGCTGCTCTTTGAAATCTTCTGTTCAGCTCTTTTATCTTGTCATTTCTTTGATTTGCTCTACCTACTCTCCATTCAAGGGCAAGTTTCAGAGTCTCTTCTGACATCCATTTTGGTCTTTTCTTCCTTTCCTGTTCTCTTAATGCTTTCTTCATGGATGTTCTTGATGTCATCCCACAATTTCTTTGGTTTTCAGTCATTCATGTTCAGTACATCAAATCTGTTCTTTAAATGGTCTCTAAATTCAGGAGGGATATAATCAAGGTCATATTTGGCTCTTGTGGACTTATTTTAATTGTCTTCAACTTCAGCTTGAACTTGGATATGAGCAATTGATGGTCTGTTCCACAATCAGCTCCTGGTCTTGTTTTGGCGGAAGATACTGAGCTTTTCCATCGCCTCTTGCCACAGATGTAGTCAGTCTGATTCCTGTGTACTCTATCTGGTGAAGTCCACTTGTATAGCCACTGTTTGTGTTTTTGAAAAATAGTATTTGCAATGAGTAAGTCTCTGGTAGCATAGTGCCTAAGGCACTTGACTGCTAACCAGAAGGCTGGCAGTTCAAACCCACCAGCCACTCCTCGGAAGGAAGGTTGGGCAATCTACTTCCGTAGTGATACTGCCTCGGCAACCCAAGGAGGGGTCGCTATGAGTTGGGGCCGACCCGACAGCACATAACAACAATAACAAGTCTTTGGTCTTACAGAATTGTATCATGTGATCTCCAGCGTTATTTCTATCACCAAGGCCATATTTTCCAACTACCAGTGATTCTTCTTTGTTTCTAACTTTTGCATTCCAGTCACCAGTGATAATCAGTACATCTTGATTGCATGTTTGGTCAATTTCAGACTGCAGAAGTTGGTAAAAATCTTCTATTTCCTCATCTTTGGTTTTAGTGGGTGGTGCATAAATTTTAGCAGTAGTTGTATTAACTGGTCTTCCTTGTAGGCATATGGATATTATCCGACCACTGACAGCACTGTACTTCAGGACAGATCTTTAAACATTCTTTGTGATGATGAATGCCACCCCATTCCTCTTCAATTTGTCATTCCCAGCATAGTAGATCATATGGTTGTTTGGTTCAAAATTGCCATAAAAGTCCACTTCAGCTCACTTATGCCTAGGATATTGATCTTTATGTGTTCCATTTCATTTCTGACAGCTTCCAATTTTCCTAGATTCATACTTCATACATTCCATGTTCCAATTATAAATTAATGCTTACAGCTGTTTCTTCTTATGTTGAGTCGTGCCACATCAGCAAATGGAGGTCCTGAAAGCTTTACTCCATCTATATCATTAAGGTTGGCTCTATTCTGAGTAGGCAACTCTTTCTTCCCCAGTCATATTTTCATTGCCTTCAACATAAGGGGCTCATCTTCTGGCACTATATCAAACAATATTTCAACACTATTCATGAAGTTTTCCAAAATATACCAAACCATGTTTCACTGCTGTTTGTAAGGTTTTCATTGGCCAGTTGTTTGAGAAGTGGATGGCTTCTTCCTTCTTCCAAGTTTGTCCTAGTCTGGAAGCTCTACTGAAACGTGTCCACCATGGGTAACCCTGCTTACATTTGCAACACTGATAGGATAGCCTCCAACCTCATAGCAACATGTAAGCCACCACAGGATGACAAACTGACAGAGAAGTTTATCTCCCTTAGCTGTTCCAAAAGCCCTAGGCTTTTGGAAGCAGAGCCAGGCGCCAGGGGCTTTTGGAAGCAGCTTTAAGCAGCAGCCAGGAGGAAGTGAGCCAAGCAGTTTAGAACAGGTAAGAGAGATGAACTTGTCTGTCAGTTTGTCATCCTGTGGTGGCTTACATGTTGCTAAGCGACTTATAGTAATTTCATTAATACAGTCTTCAGTCATGGATTGCTTATAAACAATCCCTCAGGGATCCCCCCCCCCCCCGTGACCCAGTATGAGTGGGCTCTGAACACCCACATTCTGGTGACTGATAGAATGATTTTGGTGTTTTAGCTGGTGGAGGCAGTGACCTCAGATTGTGGACAGTGAATGGGGACCTCGTTGGACATGTCCACTGCCGGGAGATCATTTGTTCCATTGCTTTCTCCAACCAGCCTGAAGGAATATCTATCAATGTGATTGCTGGGGGCTTAGAAAATGGAGTTGTGCGGTAAGATGGGTTTTAATTCTCTTCATCTGTTTTCCTTTGTAAGAATCTAGCAGTTTCAGATACTAGTTTTCAATACGTAGGCACAGTGCTAATTAATATTTAAAGATTTCAAATCATCTTTGGATATAGGTTTTTCATTTATTCCTGATATATTTCTAAATAATAAAAATAGCTTTATTGCAGTTTTACAATTTCATGTGTGTTAACTATAAAAGAATAACACAAAATACACAAAGTATAAAGTTCCCTGTCTCCCATACCACCCTCTGCAAACTTCCCAGAGGTAACTACTGTTAATTGTTTACTGGGTTTCCTTCCAGGTGATTTTTAATAAACAAACAAATATATGGTGGAATTTTTTAGGAAGTATAATTTTGATTTGCATAATGAGATGTTGACTTTTTTTCCCCCTCTAGATTATGGAGCACATGGGACTTAAAGCCTGTGCGGGAAATTACATTTTCTAAATCACATAAACCTATTGTAAGGTAAGTTATTTTCCCCCTTTATTCTTCATAATATAGTTTATGACTATATTTTTATTAGAGAGATATTAAAGTACAAAGACCTAAAGAAATATGTGATTGAAATCATTATAAAAAACCAACCATTTATTAAACACCAGGTTGCCAGTGACACAGTGCCAAGAGAGAGGCACAGTCCTGGTCTTCTTCAAGCTTAAAATCTTGAGTCAGGAACTTAATGTCTAGTTGAAAGGCATGCTGGTATAAAGCCCAGGTGAGGCCTCTTGACTTATAGAAACTGTGTGTGTGTGTGTGTGTGTGAGGGGGGGGCGGGACAGAGAGACAGAGAGAGAGAGATATTTGGGTGAAAGTTTACAGAGCAAATTCATTTTCCATTGAACAATTCATACACATTTTGTTTCATGATATCGATTACAGATCCGCACAATGTAACCACTTGCTTCCCACTTCCTCTTTGTGGTTACCTTTAGCCTGTGTCCTTCCTTTCTATGTATTCCTGCCCTCTGAGCTGTCTCCATAAGAAATACTGCCCTTCTGATTTTCCATGGTTGATTGTTCTAAAGAGTACATCTACCTGTGGTCACCTCATAGACCTGTTTACTGTTTGGCTGAAAGTAAAGCCGCAGGGGTTGAGTTCATTTCAAGGCCTGAAGGGTGACTAGGGGCCCTAGTCTCAGAGAACCACTTCTTTCTTGAAAAGGAGTATACTTGTAAAGGCCCACAAGCAGTGAGAGCCCTGGTGAAGCAATAGCTAAGTGCTCATCTGGTAACTGGAAAATCAGTGGTTTGAACCTACCAGTGGCTCTGCAGAAGAAAAGGCCTAGCAGTCTGTTCCTTTAAAGATTAAAACCAAACTAATCCCACTGGCATCCAGTTGATTCCAACTCATAGCAACCTCTTTCGGATTCCCAAGGCTATAAATCTTTATGGAAGTAGATTGCCTCATCTTCCTCCCATGAAGAAGCTGGTGGGTTTTGAACCTCCAACTGTCTGGTTAGCATCCAAATGCCTTACCCACTACGCCACCAGAACTTCTTCCCTTAAAGAGAACAGCCTAGGAAATCCTATGGGGCAGTCCTACTCTGTCATATAAAGTCAGTCACTATGAATTGGAATCACCTGGACAGCACACAACAACAGTAAGTTTCAATTGGAAATGATTCCACTTGTACTTTATTAAGATAAATATATTTTCAATACACCAAATTTAAAAGTTTAATGACCTTAAATTAATTCTTTATTAATGTTATATCTTTATACTTTTTCTTTCAGGGAAATAAAATATCTCTGTAAAATAATACCATAATTTATTTCTATAAGAAAATCTGATACTGTTATATTTTTTAAAGTTTCCTACACTTGTTTGCTATTTAGGTAATAAAACTTGCAAAGAAAGAACATACTAATCTCTATTATTCTGATTTTATTCTATATCACCTAGTTAGAATGAGCTTCACAAATGTGTCAGCAGGATAGTTAAACTGTATTAGAATTACAGTTTAAGCCAGTGACTTGTACATAGTCATTTAGTTGATAACGCTCTGCTCCAGTAAAGATATCTTAACTTCTTTACACTAACTTCTATGTTTTTTACCACTATGCCAATACTGTGCTAAAGAGATAAAATGTATGAACTGAATTTATTTTGCAGCCTTACATTTTCCTGTGATGGCCACCATTTGTACACAGCAAACAGTGAGGGAACGGTGATTGCCTGGTGTCGAAAAGACCAGCAGCGCTTGAAACAGCCTATGTTCTACTCCTTCCTTAGCAGCTATGCAGCTGGGTGAACATGAGAGAAATTTAACTTACATGTTGACTCCACCAGTTTTAAAAGATTGACCTGAAGAAATGGATGACTAAATATATCATCTGAATAATGATAAACTCTATTCATCTGCACAACACTCTGGAGCCTACAAAGTCCTGAGCAAAAAGTTTTGTTCTGATTATTGATGATCTGGAGGGTTGTGTCATTGTATACTAACCAACAAGCTTTAAGTCTTGCATGATAAAGTAAAAGCTTATGCTTAAAGTTCTTTCCCACAAAGATATTCCAAAGAAAAGATTAGGGTCTCCTTTTTGTATTAACCCAAAAGGCCAGTAGTATTAAAAGTTGGGATAATTGTTTATATATGATACTCTAAAATCAAGTTATATTTTAAAAGTTTTCTGACCTGAGATAACCCCTATCCCTACCCCACCCCCCAGAAAAGGAAAGATAAAGAAAAGGATAAAAAATTCAAGACTCAATAATTGCTTTCTTTGAGGAGCAAATTACTCAGTAGGTGCCTCTGCACCAAATATTTTATGGAATATCTGATACTAAAAAGAAACTTCTGGTAAATCTCAATGTTGGCAGTTTTTGCCAGTGGCCTTCTTAGCACAAAGTACAACCAGAATTTTTTGACAGCCACAGCATGCAGGTATCTTTTATTTCAGATGCATCCTTTTTCTTCATAAAAAGACTTACTTAAAATCCATTAACACTAGATGTTGAATATCCCTAGTTGAGTCACTAAGGTTTAAACATAATGATAATTCATTTAATACTTGCTATTCACAGATCATTGAATACTTAATAATTTGCAATAAATAGAAAGCTGCCACTATGAAAAAAATTTGCACAGATATTCATAGTACAGTCTAGATAAGGCATTTACTCTAATGTGTAGGTGGAGTTTTCATCCCCAAAGCAGAATTAGAAAAGGAGACAGCTTACTACGTTCCTTTAAACAGGAAGCAAGGTAATTGTTCTAGAAAACAGTGGATGCTCTTTCTACTAACCTATATCACCTGAAAATTCCCAAAAATTTTAGAATAGTCTCTCTCTACCATGATGTCACAGCTGTATTTTTACTTGGGGTGCTGTTTTATTGGCTTTGAAATCACTGTAAAATAAGCTCAGTAATAATGTTACCACAAGGTAAAAATATGTTTTCCTGAATAACTTGCGCATTTCTTATGGAAATTAAATTCATATGGTGTTTACAGAGCTACTTTTGTTATTTCCAGACTTTCTAAAACATTCTGCTTTAGAACTGTATAAAATACAATTCCCAAGTCTCTGCTGTCCAGATAGGAACAAGAGGAAACAAATGGCCATGTGCCATTTCTAACTGACCTGCATACATTGGAAGAGCATTTAACAGCCTGGATTTAGAGCATGGTTTGCACAAGTTGGGTACTAATTCTGATGTCCAAGTAAATGCAGAGATAAGATTATTCCTATTCACGTTGAAGTGACTTGCTTTGTTTTTTAAAAAATTGCAGCTATTGTCTAATTTCATTTTTTTAACTGAGAGCTTTAAATTTCTCCCCTATTAGAATAGGGAAGCTACTCAGTCCTTTTTAAAAAAAAAAAAAAAACTAATTTCATCATTTATCTAAAGAGAAAAATATGAAAAATAATTTGTCTTATTAAGAGTGCAATATTATATTTTTATGTAAAACATAAAGATAACTTTAGGGGGATTATTTATTCAGCATGAAGCCTAATATGTATATGTTTGAAATACTTCATAATGTGCGTGTTGTAGCAAACATTTCTGTAAATTATCACAAGCTCTGTTATCTTTGTATACACTGACACTTCGCTTTGGGAATAAATTTCATGAAAATAGATTTAAAGACCTATTCTTTACAGAATTTAAATATTATGACCATATCTCAAGTCAGTGGCTTTTTTTGTTTGTTTTAACTCACATGAATTCTGTTTTTGGTGCACTATAAATTTATGTCACTAGGAAAGGATAACTTTCATTTCTTAACGGTGATTTTTTCTTATGCTAAAGTTTTAGATTTCAGCCTTTACCCTTACATGAGGTTTAGACAGCAGCACCAAGATCAAGCCATGCGTTTTGTTTTGTTTTGTTTTGTTTTATTTTTTTAAGGAAAGAACATCTGCCCCCTCCCCTATAGCCGATCTTTATGGAGCCATTTCTTTGTACCAGGGACAATGCTAAGTGCTGAGGAGATAGTACTGCATGTAATACAGAATGCTTGTTCCCAGAATTTGTGGGTATTGCAGTCTTGTGGAGAAACATCACAGATAATGCACAGTAAATATACATAGCTTATACCCATTATTAAGTACTACAAAGGTAGAGTATAGGCACTATGAGAGACTATAACAGGAAAAATTCAGTTTGGACTGAGGGAATTTATGAAAGCCTCTTCAGGAAGTGAAATTTTTGTGGAAACCTAATGAATAAATAGAGATTTGACAAGTGAAGCTAGGGGCAGGTGTGTTTCAGACAAAGCATAATACATTTGTGAAGTTCCTGAGGTGGGAACATCAATAACAAAAGCCCAATGAAGGAAAAAGTAACCTGTACACACCCCAGGCCCTGGGTGAAAAATGGTTAAATTGCTTGGCTGCTAACTGAAAGACTGGAAGTTCAAGTCTACCCAGAGGCACCTTAGAAGAAAGGACTGACAGTCTACTTCCAAAGAATCAGTCATTGAAAACTCTGTGGAATACAGTTCTACTATGACATACATGGGGTTGCCATGAGTCAGAGTCAAATTGACAGAAACTAGGTGTTTTGTTTTGTTTTGTTTAGGAGCTCTGGTAGCGTAGTGCCTAAGGCAGTTGACTGCTAACCAGAAGGCTGGCGGTTCAAACCCACCAGCCAGTCCTCGGAAGGAAGATGGGGCAATCTACTTCCATAGTGATACTGCCTTGGAAACCCAAAGAGGGGTCACTATGAGTCAGTCCAACTTGATGGCACATAACAACAACAGGATTTTTTTGTTTGTTTTTTGGTATTTAGCCCAATTTTTCTGGTGAACATTACAAAATTGTGGATGAATTCAACAAACAATAGTCAAGTCTTTGGAGTTTTTTTGTTTTTTTTTTCCTTTTTTTCCCCCTGCTTTGCATTTGCAATGCTTTAAGGGTTGTCAAGATTAGAGCCCACCTGCTGTTATGAAGTCTGTATCCAAGAGAATGCAACAGCAGTGTTTTATCAGTGTAGACAGTAGACTGGCAAAGCCAAATGTCCCCTCTTTACCCACAAGCCTCAGTCTGGCTCACCTTTCAACAACATTAAATTGAATGAAGTTACATGTAGTAGGGGAGGAGAGGGGAAATTCTGTCCAGTCCTTCAGCACTTATACCTGGTGTTCTTTGTTTCAGTACTTGGATTACTTGTCAGTGTTCTGGACCAAAGAAACAGGACCTACCATGTCAATGTTTATAAAAGTGAAAGAAGTAAAGAAATTCCAAAGCTTTTTTTTTTTTTTCTTTAAATTTTATTGTGATTTGGGTGAAAGTTTACAGAGCAAGTTCATCTTCCATACAACAGTTCACATACACTTTATCTCATGACATTGACTGCAATCTCCCACAATGCAACAGCTCTCCTCCTACTTCCTCCCCATAGCCACCTCTTGCCTGTGTCCTTCCCTCCCATGGACTCCTTCCCCCCAAGCTGTCTCCCTGTGCATGCAAAGCCCTCTATTTCTCATGATTAATCTCTCCAGGGAGTGTATCTACCTAATGGAAATGTTCAGCTCATATGCCTGTCTTTTGTTTGGCTGGAAGCCACAGGTGTGGGTTCCATTCTAGACCTCAAGGACAGCTAGGGCCCATAGTCTCAGGGGTTCCACCAGGCTCTCGGACCAGCAAACCTGGTCCTTTTTTTTTCTTTTTTTAATGATAGTGAGTTTTCTTCCACATTGTTCTCCCATTTTATCCAGGCTGTCCTACATAGATCCTCCTCTGAGTGGTTGACAGTGGTAGAACTAGATCTCATCTAGTTCTTCTGATCTCATAGTTGTATAAGCTGAGGACTGCATGGTGTACCAGTCCCTTGGATTAATTGTTTCCATGTGTCTTTACTTTTCCTCATTCTTCTTTGCTCCAGACAAGGAGAGACCCATTGTTGCATCTAGATGGCCCCAAAGCTTAATATTTTTAAAAAAAAAAATTTATGTTGTTCAGAATATACACCTTTTCAACAGTTTTTACCTGTACAATTCAGTGACATTGATTGCAGTCTTAGATTTGTACCACCATTCTCACCCTCTTTTTCTGAGTTGTTCCTTCATTAACATAAACTCAGTACCCTGTAAGGTTCCTATCTAATCTTTTGAGTTGCTATTGTCAGTTTGATCCCATATTGTTGTTAGGTGCCATCTAATTAGCTCTGACTCACAGCAACCCTATGTACAACAAAACAAAACACTGCCCAGTCGTGTGCCAGCCTCACAATTCCTGGCATACCTGATCCCATTGTGGCAGCCATCATGTCATTCCATCTTGTTGAGGGCCTTGCCCTTTTTTGCTGACCCTCCACTTTACTAAGCACTATATACTTCTCAAGGAAATGGCCCCTTCTGACAACATGACCAAAGTAGATGAGACGAAGTCTGGCTATTCTTCCTTTCCAAGGAGCAGTCAGGCTGCACTTATTCCAGGGCAGATTTGGTAGTACTAGCATTCCATGGTACTTTCAGTACTCTTCACCAACACCATAACTCAAAAGCATCAACTCTTCTTTGGTCTTCCTTATTCATTGTCCAGCATTCACATGTGTATGAGGTGAAAACACCATGGCTTGGGTTAGGCATACCTTAATCTTCAAAGAGACATCTTTGGTCATAAAGAGGTCTTTTGCAAGCAGATTTCCCCACTGCAATACATCCTCTGATTTCTTAACTATAGCTTCCATTGGTGTTGATTGTGGAACGAAGTAATATGAAATCTTCAACAACTTCAATCTTCCCTTCATTTATTGTGATGCTGCTTATTGGTCCAGTTGTGAGGATTTTGTTTTCTTTATGTTGAGGTATAATCCATACTGCAAACTGTATTCTTCAGTCTTCATCAGTAAGTGCTTCAAGTCATCTTCACTTTCAGCAAGGAAGGTCATTTCATCTGCATTTCACAGGTTAATTACTCTTCCAATCTTGATATCACATTCTTACTGATATAGTCCAACTTCTTGGATTATTTGCTCAGCATACAAATTGAGTAAGTATGGGGAAAGGATACAACCCTGATGCACTCCCTTCCTGATTTTAAACCATGCAGTATCCCCTTCTTCTGTTCAAAGACAGCCTCTTGGTCTATGTATGGATTCCTCTTGAGCACAATTAACAGTTCTGGAATTACCATTCTTCTCGGTGTTACCCATAATTTGTTGTGATCCACACAGTCGAATGCTTTTGCATAGTCAATAAAACACAAGTAAACATCTTTCTGGTATTCTTTGCTTTCACCCAGGATCCATCTGACATCAGCAATGATATCCCTCATTCCCCATCCTCTTCTGAATCCAGCTTGCATTTCTGGAAATTCTCTGTCAACCGTTTTTTTAATTATCTTCAGCAAAATTTTACTTGCAAGTGATATTAATGACATAGTTCAATAATTTTGACACTCTGCAGGATCACCTTTCTTTGGAATGGGTACAAATATGGATCTCTTCCAGTCAGTTGGCCAGGTAGCTGTCTTCCAAATATCTTGGCATAGAAAAGTAAGTATGTCCTGCACAGCATCTGTTTGTTGAAACATCTCAATGGGTATCTCATCAATTCCCAGACCCTTGTTTTCTGCCAATTCCTTCAGTGCAGCTTTGACTTCTTCCTTCAATACCATTAGTTCTTGATTATATGCCACTTCCCGAAATAGATGAACATTGACCAATTCTTTTTGGTACAGTGACTGTATTCTTTCCATCTTCTTTTGATGTTTCCTGAATCTTTCGATATTTTGCCCATGTTGTTATTGTTGTTAGGTGCTGTCATGTTGTCTCCAACTCATAGCAACCTCATGTACAACAGAATGAAACACTGCCAGTCCTGTGCCAGCCCCATGATCTTTGTTATACCTGAGCCCATCATTGCAGTCACATTGCAGCCACTGTGTCAATCCATCTCATTGAGGGCCTTCCCCTTTTTCGTTGTCCTTCCACTTTGCCAAGCATGATATCCTTCTCCAGAAAATTGTTCCTTCTTACAACATGACCAAAGTAGGTAAGACAAAGTCTGGCCATTCTTGCTTCCTTCAAAGGTGCACTCCAACTGCACTTCTTCCAGGACAGATTTGTTAATTCTTTTAGCAGTCCATATAACTTTCAGCATTCTTCACCAACACTACAACTCAAAAGCATCAAATCTTCGGTCTTCCTTTTTCTTTGTCCAGCTCTCACATGCATATGAGGTGATTGAAAATACCATGTCTTGGGTCAACTGCATCTTAGTCTTCAAGGAAATATCTTTGCTCTTCAACTCTTGAAAGAGGTCCTTTGCAGCAGATTTGCCCAATGCTATACGATGTCTGATAGCTTGACTGCTGCTTCCATTGGTGTTGATTGTTGAACAAAGTAATATGAAGTCTTTGACAACTTCAATCTTTTCTCCATTTATCATGATGCTGCTTATTAGTCCCGTTGTGAGGATTTTTGTTTTCTTTATAGTGAGGTGTAATCCATACTGCAGACTGTAGTCTTCTGTCTTCATAAGTAAATGTTTCAAGTCATCTTCACTTTCAGCAAGCAAAGTTGTGTCATCTGCATAACACCAGATTTGGCGGAGCTTTCAGACTGAGACAGACTCAAAAGAAGGAAGAGGCCATCCACTTCTCAAAGAATTGGCCAGAGAAAACT